AGTACAAACATCTTATGCATAAACACCCATATCAAGAAAATAAAAAGGATGAGAACCCATGTCTTACTTGAACCAGCCATGGTGATTTGAAGGATAGAAGAACCCAAGAGTACAAGTGCCATGAGCATGAATTTTGCAACCAATGGCTTCATTTTTTTATATATAAATAAATATGCAAAAATTGTAGAATTTTTGGGTGATGTGGTGTGTGTTTGTGTGTGTAAAAAGTGGAGAAATGAACCAATATTTATAGTGCTGAAAAATTGTTGGTAAGAGAATTAAATTATATTTAAAGATGAAGAAAACAAAATTTTCCATGTCAGTTTGAATTTACAGCTAATACATTAATTAAATAAAAAACATCTATTAAATTTTATTAATAAAGTAATATTTAAAAGTAAAATTATTATTTTAAACATCTGTAATGGTTAAAAATAAAATAAAGTTCTATTTTTCGGACTTTTACATCTTCGTATTGTATTTTTTGTTTTGAATACTACGACGCCTTTCCGGAAAAAAGTCAATATCTCGTTACCAAATATATATTTTATTTAATGTTATATTTGACCTAAAAGCATTTTTACACATTCAAAATAAAAATAAAAGAGTATTTTCAGACCTTTTTCTTCAACAGTTTCTACAAAACATTTTCTAGTTACTATTACTATTACCATTTGATAATGACTCCCATGTACGTATGTGTGAATAAGTTTGTTGTATTTCGTCTTCATCATACGTATGATAAAGTTTGCAACCCAACGAAACATTTTCATGGAATTATGTATCAAATAAACATCGGTTTCTTTGAGACACAGGGAATATAACAACATATCCAATAATGAGGTTCATGTACACGGTATTATTAGATTAGGAAGGAGTTATTGCACAATCATAAGAACTTATAAGAATTCAGGTTTTTGTATAAGTTTATATATTATACAATATTCAGGTAAAACTTTTAAATTTGAAGAGTACTGGTTTTTTGGATATATTATAATAAAAATTAAAATTTTATAATATTTAATATGACAGTCATATTGATATATTTATCAGATCTTTCATTTTTGAAGTAAATATTTAATATTGTTGTATAATTATTCACATATAATAAAATGAGAAGATTACATTTTTAATAGGAATCATTGAATTTTTGTTGATTATTATTATTATTTTAGTAAATTACATTTTTGGTTTTTATAGTTGCCACTCGTTATGAAGTTTTAGTCCCTAATATGAATTATCTACATTTTCAGTCACTATGGTTGTCATTTTATTTCACGTTTTGTCTTTCTGATTAACTATAGTTAAAAGAGGCTTGTTAACTTAATGACATTCTAGTCTGCATTCTCTATTTTGTGTTTTATTTTATTAAAAACTCTTCCTTTTATAAACCCACCCTACCCCACTTCTACCCGTACCCTACACGTACCCCACCTACCAAGTCCCGACTTGTTGTGTTGTCGCCCTCTATGGCAACAAAGATGAGCATGTGTGTAGGCATGGTAATGGGGCGAGGATGGGGGCCGGGACTCTAATCCCCATCTCTAATTCCGCCTCCAACCCACTATGGAAAATGATCAGAATTCACATCTCCATCCCTGTCCTTAATGGAGAATCAAAGATTTTTTTTCTCGTTTATGTGAGATATTTTAAATCGAATGTGTAAATACCACACTCAGATCCAAAATATTTCATGTTTAAAGCTCACATATTTTCAAAAAAAAATTGCTTTTATGGAATATGAAATATATATATATATATATATATATATATATATGTGTGTGTGTGTGTGTGTGTGTGTGTGTGAACAAAATGACATCATATATAATTGTTTGAACAGACCCTTTCGGCACTCGATGTATTTTATCTAAAAAAAGTAAACAAGTCAAAAAAGATGCATATAAGAAGAAAGATCAAAATATTTTTCTAAATATAAAAGATACTAAATTTAATTCTTTATATAACAATATATTTAATAATAAATATAAAATTTATTTAATATACGGGGATGAGACAGGTCGGGATCACATTACCTAACCCCGTACCCATCCCCAATTTTTTTAACTTCTAGGGATCCTGTACCCATCTCTAGTCATCGGTTTTGCAAGGAATCCATGGTCTCGTCGGGATGAATATACCGGGTTCCATAATAGGTATGTTTTGCTTTGAAGAAGGGTAAAATAAAGGAGCCTGGGTACTGGGTCTGGGACACCAACTCATACACATTTTGCATCTTCATTTTGAGTACAGTTGGATGTTTGCAGTTTTGAAATTACAAGATTACCATCATCGTTTGAAAAAACATTCATACTTGTTGCCTCCCTCTAACGGTGGTTAAAAGATACAAAATGTTCGTCATTCAATGGAATTTTTTAACGGTGGTTAGAAAAAGGACCAAATCCAAAAGTTTTTCAAACCACGATGGTCATCTTGTAATTTCAGAACTGCAATGATAAAAAGTGTTACTTTTGACAGACCACAATGACCAAATTTGTAGTTTAGTCCTTTTTTAACTATAGTTAGACAAAAAGACAAAAAAGTGAAACAAAATGTCAACCATAATGACCGAAAATAATTAGTTCAAAATAGGGACTATACATGATAATAAGTGGGCAACCACAAAGATCAAAAAATGTAATTTACACTTATTATTTTGTCGAGCTATCATATATATGACAGGATGAAGCAGAAAAATAAGGTTCTTGTACCGCAAATGCACTAAGTTTGTACCATTTGACCTTTTTGATCAAATGAATTACTCTTTTGTTTCGAAATGATAGTTATTTTCTAAACATTGAAGTAAACACAAAAATATTGACGTTAAACTTGCTTTATAAATTGATATCGATTATGAATCAAACGAGATGTCGTTTTAGCCTTAAAAGTTGCTTTCAACAAACAAGAATGTGTCACTGGGTTTTCGATTCAARGGAGCAYTGGTTACGAACTAGTTTCATGTGGGAAGCAAAGCATGGGCGAGTGGGACACCCCTTTCACTATAAAGAGAGCTTCATCATACAATTTATTGAATTATTATTCTTTCTTAATGAAAACATCTGATTGTTATTAGGAAAAGTAAACTGTACATTAATATTTTTTTTCAACGCTTCAAGATTTCTTTTGTTTGTGTCGTTTTTATTTGATTTTTTTTTTGCACATCAATAAATGCAAAAGATTTCGTGAGTCATAAAAATTGTCCACCAAATGCAAYATAAATGCCATCTTTTATTATAAAGTTCAATTAAATAAAGATAAYATGATGAATAAATAAAATACCACAAGCACGTCCAGTATCGTTCATAGAACTTTCTTTTCCCTATAACAAACGCCTTTGTTCAGATATCCCGGTAATACAACACAGAAATGCCTTCAGGGGCATTTGGACGTGCCCTTGGAGTTCTTCTTGTCCCTATAACAAGGGCATTCGTCTTTATTCCCGTACGTTCCAGAGGGTACACATTGACACTCTTCGCAGCATATCCCACAGTACTTTAAACATCTATCTTGCCTCCCTGCCTTCGAGCACCTCACCGCACACTTCGAGTCGCAGATACCTACACATACACGTATACAGTTTAACTATATATAAACTGCAATGCAAGAGTACAAACATCTTATGCATAAACACCCATATCAAGAAAATGAAAAGGATGAGAACCCATGTCTTACTTGAACCAGCCATGGTGATTTGAAGGATTGAAGAACCCAAGAGTACAAGTGCCATGAGCATGAATTTTGCAACCAATGGCTTCATTTTTTTTATATATAAATAAATATGCAAAAATTGTAGAAATTTTGGGTGATGTGGTGTGTGTTTGTGTGTGTAAAAAGTGGAGAAATGAGCCAATATTTATAGTGCTGGAAAATTGTTGGTAACAGAATTAAATTATATTTAAAGATGAAGAAAACAAAAAATTTCCATGTCAATTTGAATTTACAGCTAATACCTTAATTAAATAAAAAATATCTATTAAATTTTATATAATAAAGTAATATTTTAAAGTAAAATTATTATTTTTAACATCTGTAACAATTAAAAATAAATTAAAGTTCTTGTTACCTCACAGTTTTTTTCTGACTTTTCCTTCTTCGTTTTGTATTTTTTGTTTTGAATATTATGAAAGTCAATGTCTCGTTACCAAATATATATTTCATTTAATGTTATATTTGACCTAAAAGCATTTTTACGCATTCAAAAGAAAAATAAATGAGTATTTTCAGACTTTTTTTCTTCAATAGTTTCTACAAAATATTTTCTAGTTAGTGGGAATCAGATAAAAAAATTCTAAGAATTTGGATGGATTTTTTTTATTAACCTGAATATCCAACCCGCTATGCAAACCGACTAATTGCAGGACGACCATTTGCTTTGCAGATAGCTCAAAGTCACCGCATTTGAATCTCCATGGCCACAAAAAAAAAATTTATTTTTTCTTGGATTTGAACCTGGGACCTCTAGATACTTTTGATCTTTGAAATCAAGTTCAAACTAATCAGACACTATCATTAGTTAATTATTTGTATAAATTAGTAAAAAAGAGATGGAAGTTTCTACACATAAAAAAGCATAAGATTAAATGAAGAAAAGAGGAAATAACTTTTTTAGAAAGTCTATTATTAAATATTTTAATAATATTAAAATCTTTAAAATAGATAAAATAGGAAAAAAGTGTTAAAACTATATGTATTTTTAATTTCTTTTAATTTTATTTTAAGAATATGTTTAGCAAACTATATGATAAAATTAACTGATAATTGATAAGTTAATCGGTAGCTGATAAACAAATCATGTATGACAAAAACTAGTTGATAATAATATAAAATGACTAGAAAGGGTATCTTGAAAAATTCGTCAATTACAATATTTTATAATATAATTAAATCAAATATTTCATAATATAATATATTAATACAAACAAGATAGTATAAAAAATAATATAATATGTTGATTAAAAGAATTTTAAATTGATTCTTACATATATTATAAATTTTGGATTTGTTAAAATAAATTTTAGAAGAAAAAAAATCTATATTAATTTATGATTTTAAATAAGCATTACACATAACATGGCTAAAAATAAAATTGGTCTACTTAAAATATTTTAATTAATTAGTTAGTTTGCAGTTATATCTTCATATTTATATTTTATTCAAAACATAAAAACATTATCGTTTTATCAAAATCATATAAAACCGTATTTTAATATCGACCGAAAAAAAAATGAAGCATTAAAATTGAGATGTATCTCGCTGCATTATGCGAGTATACTTTTAGTAATAATTAATGAGATTTATAATTAAAAAGTAACAAAATATTTTTATAAATGAGTTAAAATATTTTTTTCGAATGGGGTGCTAATGGCACCCCTTACAGGGGGGGGGGGGTGTTGAATGTGTTGGGAAATGGAATGAGTTTAAAATTCACAAAACATCAAATCAATTTTTAAAATATATTATATTTAATTATTATTAGTATTTAATATATATATATATATATAGGAATGAGTTTAAAATTCACAAAACATCAAATCAATTTTTAAAATATATTATATTTAATTATTATTAGTATTTAATATATATATATATATATATATCAATTAATTAAGTTATATTATATAATTATATATATAATCTTTATATACTTTACA